AAGAGGTGGTGTCTATTTACTTGTGACCACGCTGTGAATATCGAATGGTAGATTGGCAATTTCACTTCAAATGCCGTCTAGGTGGCGACCAGATTGGTTAAGTTAAGCCTGAATATTTCGGTTGGAATTTTGAGGAATTGAGTTCTTTCTTTTTTGTAAATACGTGTTTTTAGTTCAATATATTTATTTTAGGTGAGTGATTTTTTTATTATTCGTAATGTTATTTAATTAAAAATACAGAACAATATTATGTTATTTAAAACGCAAGCCAAATGTTACCAAGCTAGAGTGCGACCAAAAATCTTACCGGCAGCAGAACAGATTAAAACTTTCGTACAGCTTACAAGGGTGCTGAATTTGTAGCCTAATATTAGCTATCAGTGTCATTAAGTATTACCAGTGCTATTCAGTAATACTAGGCCCAAATTAAAATAAGTTAAAAGTGGAGTGTAAAAACGGGCAATTGCGCTTAACTTATAAAACTTAAGCAATAAAACTACGGCAGATGAATTTTAAAACTATGCACTTGTCGCCATCATTTATTGAAATTGAATATATAATAATATTACTACTGGTATTATTTACGCTTAATTACTGAGTACTGGTTTAACTTGTAGTTGTAAGTTTAACGTAAAACTTGTAACTTACAATTACATATACTCGTTATTATTACTATTAGTATCTATTATCTAGAGAATTCATACAATTTCAATTACAAGTAAATTGCTGTAAATATATCATCTTACCTGGTGTGATTTCTAAATTATATTTTATTCCAAGCTGCGATATATTCTTCTATTTACTTTTAAAAGTTTTTTTATGTTTGCCAGAGAAACAGTACTTACCATTTGTCAAAGTGTTTCAATTTTTATAATATTTATTCAGAATTTATGTAAAGCTAAAATTAATTTCTACTTCTAAGTTCTAGGTAACTTTGTGAGAAACGTTTTAAAGCAGAAAAGCTGAAAGTTCTATTTCATTTCCAAATTATAATTCTAAGTTATGGGCAAAAAATACGTCTGCTTATCAAAATTTAAGAATGATTTGAGTTATTTTGTAACAATATGCATTTAATAAACCAAATATTTTGTATTTCAAATAATTATCCTTTCAAGATCCTTGTTAAGTTTGAATTCTTAGGTGAAAACTTCTTGTTTTAATTGAATTGAGTATAAATTTGTGAAATGGTGCACCTGATGATTTGCCTTGTACTCCTAAATTGAATTATTTTAAAACTTTGTTGGATAATTATGTGGATACGAAGTGATATATTTATCCGGGAATATATTTTTGTGGATTATAGGTGGCCTTGATAGATTCTGTCACCTTTGTTTTTCATACGTTTATTACATTACAGTTTCACAGATGTTGTTATCAACAGTAGAATTGGAGAATATGATCTATATATCATCTCTTAGTAAATTGTGCTTTAACAAACTATTATTATTTTAAGTATTATACACATTCCAGCCAGTAGTGATTAGTGAAGTGTCTTTCCTTTTCTTAATAGATAAGAAACCAAATCAGTAATTATTTGTATATTGGAATTTCAGTTACCTGAAAAGTGATAGAGTTTGAAGTGATATAATTTTAGTTTCAATAATTGATATTTTTTTAAGTTGATGAATCTAATTTGTTTGACAAAAAGCTGACAATGGAAAAAGAGACTTGTCAAAAACAAAAAGTATCAGAAGGCAAAGCCTGTGAGGAGACGGACATTGGAAGAATACCTGACATGCTTAAAGAAACATTAACATCATCAAAAAATGAAAGCACTGTTATGTGTCAAAAATGTCCATCTATAATCTTAAAACCTGGCTTAGCTTCAACTACAAACATTGAAGTAAGTTCTTAGAATAAGAAATAAAGATCTCTGATTTCTTTGTGTTGTATTCTGAAAATAATAGGGTGAGGGGATACAAGTTTAATATTAGGAATAAGACAGGCTAGGCAGCAGTTAAGGCACTATTTTTTGCTAACAAGATGTTTTACTTATGGAATGAGTTGCCACCATTAATAGTGGAAGCTAACACTGCATTTTGAGTTTGAGAAGGGAATTTATGATTTCTAGTAAAATAAAGAGTGGGTTTAAAAAATTTTCTTTTCTCAAGGGCGAATGTGCAAGGATGTCCTTGAAGGATTAATTGGTTCCCCCCCCCCTTTTTGTCCAGATTTTATGTTATTGAGGTAAATTTCTATGACTATAAAGAGAATAATTTTGCAATAATCACTAGACTAGCATTTCAATACCAAAAACAGACTCACTGCTTCCCTAAACTGTCAAAGACCACTAAGATGCAAGTGCAAAGAAAAACCAGTAAAATTTACACATGCATATTCTGTCAGTTTTTGTAAAATTCCATGGATCAGTGGTAGACAATGAGATTGGCTTTTTACTTTTCATGTATCTGGTCATAATTATGGATTCCTTGCACTATTATAAAAAGGATAATATATCAGAATATTGCCTTCCATAGTAATTTTGGAGTAAGAGTAACAATTTCACTTAAGATTGATTAATTTTATGGAAGGTGATATATTAATGTCACTTGAGTGTAATGGGAAGCTGCATTTCTACTGGGTCACTATCATAACTTGTCACTGTAAAAAATTATAATTAGATGGATTTAGTACATAATTACATATTCCTTAATATAATTTCATTATTTGTATTGATTGTGATATTTAAAATAAATTTGAATCTTTTTTTATTATTAATTTTACACTTATGAAGTTATTTTGCATTGTGAGCTTAGAAGATGGACTCAAAACTAAAATATATATATCCTAAATTTGTTGAATCTTGTGACATATTATTGGGTTTATGGCCAAAAATACGATATCCAACTGAGTATTCAATGAATTTTGATTATTATACGTTTAAGTTTTCTTGTATATCTTGCCAGTTTTTCGTTATAGATTTGGCTCCAGCATCTTTATGAAGTTTTAGTTGTGATCTATATTCTAAGCCTACTTTTTGATCAGTGACCATTAATAGTTTTCAAGTTAAGATACTTGGAAGATAAGTCAGTACAGTTTCAAGTCATTTTTCAAGGTGTCATTATTGTTTTATTGATAGATTTTGATAATTATGGTAAGTTTTGTAGTGCATACATTGTTATTAATGTAGCTAAGTAGAAAGTATAGTATAAATTTCTTAGATAATAGCGACATTAATTAATTTTATTCTTCCACATCAGCTGTTTGAATGTAAAAACAAAAAGTACCAAAAGTTAGTACATGGAATGTTAATTTGGCCTGTCTATAAACATTTCTGAAGATCACAAGTTTGAGGTAAGAAGTGAAATGGGGGCACAGGTAGAAACATTTATGCAATGTTGAATGCAATGCATAAAGTTAGTGTCACTTAAAAATTTATTAATGTTGCCTTTTTTTTTTCTTTAACCCTGTCACTCTGACCCCGTACCACCTGGTGTTAATGATTGAAAATTTAATGTTCGTATTCTAGGGTTAACTTATTTTCAAAATTAAATCAGCTGACAGCAAACAAAATGCTCTATATACCTTGCTGTTTATGAAAGGAATAATGTGACATGTTGTTGTTTTATAGACTTACAGGTTACCTTTGGCAAGAAAAAAATTTATATCTCTTGATAAGTTAGCACTAACTGAAAACTCAAGTTATTTCTAATGCAGATTTTAAGGAAGCAAATACAAGATACTTAATCATTGTAACACAAGTTATATAGAAACTGTGCAATTTAATTTCTAAATTATCATATTTGTTTGTGTGTGTGTAATTTAAAAAGAAATCTATTTATGATTTAAATATGTTAGTATATCACAAATTTAGCTTCTCATTTTTCATAGTTTGAAGTAGTCTAAAATGGTATTTTTTTAAGTACGAGTTATTTTGTATATTCATAATAATCAAGCTCAGCACTATTTTTTATCCTTTATGTTTAAAGACTTTTGTTCGAGTAAGATTTTTAAATTAAATTTCCAAAATAATAACAATACTTTTTGTTGTTATTTCCAGCAATTTCTTCCATTTATGTACCAAGAGACAGCAAGTACTACACCTGATGGTGAAACTGTCAAACAATTTTGGTGTGTGGATGACATTTATAGTTTTGAAAATGTGGGATTTAGTAGTACAGTTGGACAAATCAAATATCTGACCTGTGCTGACTGTGAGATTGGGCCTATTGGCTGGCATGATCTTTTGACAAAGAAGTCCTATATTGCACCTAATCGAGTGAAGTTGTGAATGAAAATGAGATTGCTATAATCCAAAAAACCTTCTGTGTAAACAATTTATATTCAATGAGTTTACTTACAAAAATATCGTAGACTTTCTCAATTTTATTGCATTGACAAATAAGTTGTGTCTTACATACACAGTTTAATAAGCAGCTTCAAGAATGTTATTTGGTCATTCCACCTTGTTATTTATGGCAACCAAAGTGTTTTTTATATAAACATATAAAAAATTGATAATTTTAAACTATTAACAATTGAGAAGCTTTAATTAAATTTATGTGGAATACATTGCTTGCTTCAAATAAGTATCATTAAAAAAAATTCCATTTTTGATTAGACTTAAACTTAGGTTTATTCAATATAAAAATGTGGCACTCATACAAAAACAGAATATTCTAGGATGATTGTCCGAGATCGAAATTACTTAAAAAAAAAGGTAACTGATAAGTGAAATTAACCCATTTAATATAATCTGCAAACATGTTTGTTGCTAAAACATCAGTGTTTTAAAGTTTAATAATGTTGAAATACAAATATCACTTTTATTAGTTTTATATATCTTTCCATATATGTAAAAGATAATCATTAAGAGAGAAACATAAAACAAAGTGAAGTTACAAAACCCTCATTAACTACCTGAATAATATAGTTTTGGTTATTGTCAATTCCCCTGAGTCAGCTGTGATGGCAAAGAAAATCAACACCAAAGATAAATATGTTGTAAGAATATTATAAAACACTGAAATGTAAAAACTACTTGTCAAACTATTTAATCAGCTTATCTTTTTTTTTTCATGCTAAAAAAATTTGGCCATTTCTATTTCTATATATCATCTCTACTAAATTATTGATAATGTTCTGATTGCTGCATTTTAATATTTCTTTTCCATAAGCCAACTTCAATTGGAATAGATCACCCTCATCAATTAACCTCCTTGATTATATACAGTTTAAAAAATGTATTTTAATTTATATTTGAAAAAACATCCACTTAGAGTAATTAAACAGTTATATAACAGTGCGGTATTCAGGTAGACTGATATCCAACAAAAAAAAGTCTTAAACATATCCAAAAAACATAAGTTCAGGATTGTTCAACAAATAATAAATTGAACACAGACAACAAGAATAAAATAAGTGAACCTAGAAACATAATTCTGTGTTTACAACACAGTATTATATTACCAGCTCTGGGCTTCTTTCTGTATAACATGTCTTGATGCTGAGGTCGAGGGCAGGAACACTAGGGCTGAACCAAGAGATGGGAGTGACAAGAGACAGAACTATGGAAGTACTACACTTGTTATACTCAGGCCAAGCCTTAGCAAGATATCCCACAAATTCACAGCTTACTTTACTTCAATCAGTGGTTTACATACATAAATGTTGCAGCATGTATCCTTTATGTGTTTAACCCTCATCAGCATACCTGAGGTCTATGTGGACCCCAATGACTTTATTGGTTGTACATCTTTTTTTTTTTTTTACATAATCATTACAAATTTATATCAATTCATTTAATTGTCAATCAGAAACTTTGGATCAATATGACATTATTGTTTTTGAAACAGGCAGACAGAGTACGTAGCTATAATCTAATATTTATCTAGGGTCTACGTGGACCCCGTACCATCATTGACAGTAACTATGCATGCAGTTCTCCCTATAGCATATCAAACAAATTTCTCAACATTTATTTTGCTCTATAGGCTGTTGTAGAGAATAATCCATCAAAGTAGTACAGTATCATCTGGTCTGTTTGCTTATAACATCATTATGGTAAGCATGTATGTGCATCTCGTTCCTCAACAAGTGTTCTCTGTGATTACTGCTTGCAATAATTTATAGAAAACTTGTTTGATAATTGTTGTAAGTAACCTGTTTATTGGATTTTCAATCCATAACTAACTATAAGGATACGTTTGTGTTGGGATCAGTTCGGACCCAAGGTGACCCACAATGTACACTTTCAGTTTTCTTTGAGTTGAATTTTGCAGTATTGTTGTAATTTCATCGTATGTTGGAGGATAATGACTTGAATATAGGAGTATGATAAAACTTTGGCATTTTTTGATACATTATTTGTATAAGGAATGGTTTTAATACTACTTATTTGTTCACTGAGGAACAATGTAATTTTGTAATTTCTTGATTTGTCAACATATTTCCTCTATAATACATATATTTTTATGTTGTTCACATATTCATGCTAACCCTAATAGAAGTTGTAATGCAATTGGTTTTTAGAATTTTAATCCAGAACTTACTATAATGGTAATTTTGTGCTGGGGTCCAGTTGGTCCCCAGGTGTTCCAGAATATAACTTTTCAAAGGTGTGTTGATGAGGGTTTAAAAGTATTAGCACATGTTTATGACCTCACAACATCCAGTCATTATGGGTGATTGGATGTGAGTAATTGCATGTAGAAAATACATGCAACTGTATAAAATGTTATCTGAATACAGATGTATTCTATACTAGTTACAGAAATGTGATATTAGTAGCCCTTTTAGCTATATAATGATAATGTTTATTCAGCTAGCTGGTATAAAGCAAAGGGGAATTATGCATGACTTAAAAACAGTGTTGTTGCAGTATTGATGTAGCTTTGTACAATTGGTATGTTGGTTAGAGATCACTGATAAAGTACTATGCAAATGGGCTTCTAAAATTCCTGAGTAGTTCTTATATGTCTGTCTCATATTATGTATGAAAATACGTATCTTTTAAGAAGAATTGATGTTTCTCAGCAGTTTTGTTTCTTCATTCACTTATTAACAGTATAACTAAATAATTAAACTTTTATATGGCTTTCAATTTACAAATAATAAAAACTATTTAAGTACTGATAAACTTTAAGGATCATACACTGGGTGTAACTCAAATATTGTCATGGCTCATCTGAAGATTGGTCATATATAAAACCTGATTTTACTTTTTCAGGGACTTTAAACTCTTTAATTACATACTAGCTTTTAAATGTGTAGTATTTCCTTTCTTACATTGTTTAGAAGCTTGAATGAAATAGTGCTGTATGTCTGTTATGATTCTATTGTAACTTCAAGTCTCTCACTTGCTCTTCTTGGAGCTCCTGAAGTATCAGTTATGGTATCTAGTTACTAGTGGAACGTATATCACTGTATGGTTTGGTATCACTTTAGGAGAAATGGTTTTTACCTACACTTGGTGTTCCAAGAAGAACATTCAACAAATGGACAAGTCCAGCTGCATTTCAATGTTGTTTTCCCAGACAATGCATTATGGCAAAGTGCTGTGCTTGCAACTTTATTATCCAACAAGTAATTATCCCTTCTGGGTTTTACAGTTTTCCAGCCATTTCAGCAATGCATGGTCAGCCCAAAAGATGATCTTTTTATTGTACAGTAATGTTTGATGAAAACCACAACTACAAACAGTTCTTCCTTTATTTGCAATATTGTTAATAAACCATGAGTGTGTAACCATATATTCCATTCCATCCCGCTGGGATAACACTGCCTACCCATATTCCACCATCATTGCCATCAGTATCCAATAAAACCTCAACTCCTGTCGTAGATACACCAGCACTGGATCTTTTACTAATGTGTGCTGTAGGAACATGAATACTTGGTCACTCTTATTATTTCATTTAAAACATGCAACAGCTTTAGTGAGAGCAAATAATAGTGCAGCAATACCAGAGGTATTGGTCACAAATTGTTGGTAATGAGATGGAAACCATGGACTTCTCATAAATGGTTATTACAAACAATGATTTATAAACAGAAGTTTCACAAACAATATAAAGTTTTCTTTCAAGTCTGGAACCATCTTGATATCTTATCGAGGGTTCACAATGAGCGAGTTGATGTAGATACGAGTCGCTGGGAAGCTAGTTAGCTTTGTCATTGGCTACACACACTAGGTTTTCCATGACGAATTTATATGTCTTAGTAAACTAATGTCCGATGAAAATCCACTGAAGTTAAATTATTTGTAACATTCGAAATTTATAAAAATTCCTGGTCAGATATCTTAAGTTTTCCGATTGATAAGTGTTATAACAATCACAGTTATAGCTTTCGAAGTTTAATAGCGAACTAATAATAGACACTCTTTTTGGTGCGGCGAGTTGGTTATATTTATACCTGCGTGGAGGTGTTCTAGAAATTTCAGTCTTGCGTAACAATGCAAGTTGCATTTTAAACGTTTACGTATATAGATCTATTGTTCATTCTTACTCTCGAGAATCTTCTACAACTTTGGAGAATAGGCGGGAGTTTCGCAGTACCTCTCTAACAGTATAAGCTATGTATGTTTGTAAATATAAACTTAATCTAAACAACGTTCATATTAAAAGAAGTACATAACAAATTCGTTACACATGATACAAACCATCTCAAATGCTAAAAGCTGTTTTAGGCCTCTCATTATCCAACCTCTACCTGTCTTGTAATTCTAAGTCAAAGATGTTTCACCATAGGGTAACTTCCACCATGTGGAAGGCCTCAGTGCAGGTCACCGCATTCACCCATCTGAAGACAACATAGAACCTTGGGGGCTCACAATCACTATTGGAGACAACCATGCACTATCTGATCCCACCCTTTAACATTCACTGTATTTTGGTGCTAGCTATATTTGCAGTACTCGGGGACATCTTGCATAGTGTTTGGTTATTTAATTTAGTGTGCATCGCCTGTGTGTATGTGATGGTGAGGTATATCTTTAGACCTAATTGGTCTATGGTCCTAAAACTACTTCAGAATAATTAACCAACAGTTCAGTGAGCTTCTGCTGGTGTGTTGAATCAAAATTTCCTTCACAGTACTTAATAAATGACCTCATATGTGTTGGAAACCAATTATTTGTTTCAGGAATAGCACAACAGAAGTAACATTATGGATACTGCTAGCTTTGGTACCTGCTGTGCCAATAATCATTATGAGCTGTTCAACTGAATAGCCAACTACTCAAAATTACATAACAACACTGGCACTTCAGCTATCCTCAGATAGGTCACTGTCCAAACTAATGCTGCTTCTTTCTGTACAGTAAATTACATTTCATGCTCGGGCTCTACAACCTTGTTACACATAATCAGTGCATTAAACCTTGTCCATAGCAAACTTCAAAATGCCAGTTTTATACATAACGGCACTGTATGTTGCTCTGCAGTATACCCTTGAGAAACCTACAATTTCTGGGCTTGGTCTGGTTGGCATATAATAGTTTTTTCATGGAAGCACAGCTCATCTATTGCACAAACAAAACTGAGGAATATTTTTTGTAGTATGTCCATCCCTAGGATAGCCATGCCAAATCCCAGATTGGAGATGACTACCTTT